CCAAACTGCACCTCGGTCTGCTTATGGCACTGGCTTGCATTCATCACCCGAATGGATCTGCACGTCTACGCACGAATAACACTTCAGCGCCACACAGCGGCGCCAACGCGCGGACACCTGCGGAAGCTCAGCGCACTTGCCAGATGAGCACAGGCCACACCATCACGGACCCATTGTCCACCCATGCGTTGCGCACACCAGCTCGAAATACACAGCGACGCAGCATTCCGAAAGGAACAGGAGGAAGGCGCCGACGCGGGGTGAGCCCCGCGAGGGGCCACCTTCCTGCGCGCTGGCGCCGGAGACACGGATACTCACCAAACGTTCTTTGGCAAGCATACGCGTTATTGATTGGACTGGCAGCGCGGAGCGCTCTAAGTGGTTGTGCGCAGCACTTGTGCAAGTGAGCTGATGACAGCGATCAGCTCAACAGATCGCGGCCTCGCTCTGGCCATAACATTCCAACCAATTATTCAAAGGTGGCCCTGAAGCTGCGCGTCGCCAACGAGATGGTCAGCGGCCGCTCGCGCTGCGAATTGAGCTCTGCCTAGACCGCATGGGGCGCAGCCGTCGCAGCTACGAGACCTAAGCTTCCAGCAGAACACTAGCAGCTGCCGCGTGTGCTCTGGCTCCGCGACCTCACGAGCCCGGGCCAACTACGGACCCTGAATGGAGAAGGCACCCGGGATTTGATCGCGACAGGAGTGGCCAAGGACAGCATGGATAGAACTGCCCTCCACGACGTGGTTGGCGGCTCTCGTCAGCGGTCGCACGCGCCGCGCACTGTCACCTTCGCGTCGGTTGGCAAGCTCACCGCGCTGATAGGTCACGAGCGCCAGCCGACCTCGGACAATGAATCCATACTCAGCATGCTTATAGGAACTGCTGTGCCCCATTCTCTTCGGAAACATCGGCTCTTCCTCACCCCACCTTTCTGCGGGTCTGTCATGCGGCGCGCGGTGTTTGAGGCGCGCTGTAGCACGGCAGTTCGGGAGATCATGTTATCGGGAGTCAGTGGTCAGCATTCGCTGTGGCACGATTGCCGGTGAGCATATGCACGGAGACATCGGATGCGGAGTAAAGAAACACAGATGAGTATCTACGATACCCCGGCCATTCTCCTCATCAGCAGGCATGTGTTCTGCCGGGCTGGAGCGCGCTGAACCGCCGGTTGCGGCTCGCGCGCCGCAAGGGCCGCGCGCGGGCCCTCGGCGCGCGTCGCCGCGCCGGCGGCCGCGCGCTGCCACGCGCGCGTGTCAGCACGCCTCAGAGCCAGCCGCCGGAGCCCCCAGGACCGCCGCCGCCTCGCCGCTCGCGTTCCTGACCTTTGTTTCCCATGTCACCCGCGGAGCAAGTAGCGTCACCAGAAGACGCGACACCTCGCAGCGACGCCCACGGGTCGAGCCGCGCCGCACGGTCGATTTTCGACACCCCTCCTTCCAGGCCCGTAGGCAAGAGTCGGCGGCCCAAGGGAACAGTTGGCCATGGCCCGTCCTGCTGGCGCGCCTCCGACGATGCCTCCGCCGAGCAGGTCGCGAGGTCGCCAAGTGGCGCAGCAGTCAAACGAGGCAAGGCGCGCTCGTATGTTCTCAAGGCTACGTTCGAGCCCGGGAGCTTCCCCGCCCCCGCTCGCGCCCGCCATGTTTGCGCAGTCGCCGCGGGTGCCACGTCTCACTCTCGGCTGACGCCCGCCAGCAAGGCGCCCGCGCAATCGCCAGGCCCGCCGAGTGCTCCACCGCCCCTCAAAGCGCAGGCCGCGGCACTCGCGGAGGACGCTCAGCCGCTCACCAAGAACGACGAGGAGATGGCGCAGTTCGTGCGCCAGCGGCGCATCGCCGACCCAGCCCCGGAACAGGTGCTCCGCCGCAGCCTCTTCAGCACCAACTCCATGAATCCAGAGTTTCGCGCAGGGTTCACGTTCGAGGCGCGCGGAGCGCGCGCGACTGCCCCGCTGACCATCGCGCTCGCGATGTTCACGACCACGCCCCACCATCCTCGGAGTTCGCGGGGCCCTCAGCAGCGGGGCGATTGCAGGCGTCACCGGGCGCTCACAGACCCAGGGTCACGGCCCGGATTCGGCCGGGATCCGCTGGCCGCGCGCGACGAAGCACCGCTCGGCGCGCCGTCGCCCATGAGCAGGCCGCCTGGCTACGAGCGGCCAGCGGCGCCGTCGCCGCACGCATCGCGCCCCCCGCCGCCCCCGGGCGAGCGCGCACCGCGCGCTCCACTCGTCGCCAACTCTCTTCAGAGGCCCCGCCCCGGCCACCTTCTCGCGAGGCTGAATGCGACGAGGCCAGCGCGGCTCACGGCTCGGGCTGGAGATCGGCGCCGCCTCGCCCGTCGACCCCGCGCCCGTTCTGGGCGAGCACGGGGGCGAATGCGCCCATCGTTCCCCGCGGGCACGCCGCGGCGATAGGCGGCACAGGCAAGGACTAGAGCAAGGATAAGAGCGAGCCCGAACCAGACGACGCCGCCGACCTTCCCAATAATAAGGAGAATAAGAAGAAGACCCGCAGGGCATGGGAGAAGGTCACGCGCCCGCGCGCCGGCGCGGCCCTCCGCGCGTCTAGCGCCGACGAGCCGCAGCAGCCGCCCCCGCCCAGGGGCGGCGCCGAGCCCCGCACGCCTAGCGTGGAGGTCGCCTACTGCGATTGCGATCGGAGCGCCCCCCGCGGATCGCGATCGCGGCGAAGCCTCGAGGCGACAGTGCCAAAACGAGCGCGCACATCCTTCAAGGCCCACTTCCATCCAGCACCTTCTCTTGCACCTACCAGGTCAAGGCGCGATGCCTCCACCTCGCCGCCCATGCGGCCCCGGTGCCATTATTTTGCCAACGTCTCAGGACAGGCTTCCAGACATCACGTCCGCGGCCCGAGGTCCCCAACATCATACGCAACGCGGCGCGCGGAAGCTCGCACTATCATCGCTCGCGCGAGCGAACTCCTCCAGTGCCGTTTTGAAAAGAAAAGAAAAAAAACGACCGAGCTGCCCGCGACAGAAGATGAGCCCGCGCCCCGACGCGCCGCGCGCCCGCCAGGCCAGACAGCGACGGCGTGCCCATGCCGAGTTTGGAATTGTGCTTGTGGTTGGACAGTGATGGCCCCCTTCTTCCTGTGGTCTCTGTTCTCCGCCAGGGGCGTTCGATCGCCCGCACATCCCGACTCAACTAGGACGGGTCGCCGCTGTTTGTCCCGAGCGTCGACGAGTATCTATATACTGCATGATGAACTAAAGCCCAGAAATCAACATTTGGTTGCCGCCATGCCCTCTTCTCGCGCGGTTTCCAAGCCCCGCAATTCTAGTTCCTCCTCATCCTATTGCAGGGCGAGAAAAAGGGAAGCAGGAGGAGGAGCAGGGGAGGAGAAGGAAGGGGAATTGACCACAGTGGGTTGGCCCAGTCAGTTACTGTTGGCGCTTTGGGCAATTCCGGTCGTTCGCCGCATGCCGCCGGTGCGCACCTATCCGGTTGCAAACGTTCGAAAAACTCATGAACGTTCCGGATTCCGACTTCCCGCCGCTGGCGCGCTGACGCAGTGGGAGGTCAACATAGAGGCACCCGCGGTGCTTCATCTCTTGGTTCGCGAGCGCCCTGCCGGCCTGGACGAGCATGCATCAGTGCAGCCGGCCCTTGACGAGGTCCGTGCGGGAGCGGCCCAGCCCCAGCCGACTTTCGTCCGCGTCCTGCTTCGCTCGCGCTGTTTCCAGCGTTGTGGGTGACGACCTGTTCTCTCGCACTGACAGTACGGGCTGCCAGCGCCCGTTTTCTCGCAGACGGTGGCAGCCCCACCCGCTCTGTTCACAGTGCCTGCCACTTCCTGGTTGTCCGCGCGCTCTGCTTGGCATCGCTCGGACGTGTGCATTTTTCCTTCGGCGAGGGCCATCGAGGAGCATCCTCGATCACTTGGCGAAAAAAACCATGCACGAAACCGACAAAAAACACAGGGAATGGACGTCCGAGCGATGGCGAGTCTGACCCCGGTCCGCCAGCCTCTTCGCACTGGCAGCGTCCGCGGCCAGTGCCTGCGCAGTCCTTGCTGCACCTGCCTGCTTTCTCGCATTGACAACATCGGTTGCGTCTGCCCGCTTCTTCACACAAGCTCCCCCCTTTTCCCACTTGCACTGTTCATCGCGTCTGCCATTGTTTGCGTTTTCGCACGATCTGACCACAGTCCGCCCGCTTTTCCGCATTGGAAACAGCCCCTGCCATCGCATGCGCACACGATGCCGTCACAGCTTGCCTTCTCGCACAGACTGTTTTCTCGCACGAGGCGCTCACTGCACAGCATTTTCGCAGATGACACAGCTGATCTTGGCTGGTTTGTTGCACGCCGCCTTTCACGCACGAGCCGTTCCCAACACTGTGGTTGATGACGTTGCTGATCTTGGCTGGCCACTGCCCGCCAGTTTTCACGCGCGAACCGTTCCCAGCACCGTAGATGATGACACTGCTGATCACGGCTGGTTCCTGGCCCGCTTCCTGTCTCGCACCCGCCATTTCCGTCATTGTGGCTGATGATGTGTTGCTTCCTTATTTCCTCACACTTGTTTGCACTCTGACAGCGCTCTGCGACTGGCGCCATTGCTCGCCAAGAGTTGGAAGAGGGGAGAGGGGAGGAGAGGACGGAGGGTGTCCTGTCTCCTGGCGACTGCGCGCGCGCGCCAGATCTCAGCATTCTAGCTGGTGACGTGGGGCGTCACGCTTCTCGATGCTAGCTTTCGCGGGTGGGGCCAGTTCGAATTTGACTCGCGGAACACCCGTGCGCGCCTTGTGCAGGGGGAGGAGGCGGGCGCTCTGGCATAACATGGTTTAGAGGAGGATGGGGAGGAGGACGACGAGGGGGAGGAGAAGGAAGAGGAGGAGGAGGAGAAGGAGAAGGAGGAGGAGGAGGAAGAGGACGTGGGGGAGGAGGAGGCGGAGGAGGAGGAGAAGGAGGGGATTTGCAGAGTCGACGAGGACAAGGAGGGAGGTGTCGATAGGGGCACGACCGCGGCGGTCTCAGGTTCCTCGTGCCGGGGCCGGAGCCGATGGCGCAGGGCTCAGCTCGGGGCAACGGCCGGCCGACGGCCCCCTCTCCCGCATGTTTTGCTAGTTGGTCGAATGCACAGTCGATGTGCAGCCTTGGCGTTATACTTGTTGCTCATGGTGCATCCTACGGGATGCAACACCTATACATCTATGTATGTCTATGTATACACCGCATGCCTACGCAAACGCGTGTGGATAAATTGTATATGTATACATATATATATATATATATATATATGTGTGTGTATGCCTGTGTGCATCTATGTGTGTAAGCATGAAGGGATGGATGGATGGAATCATGGATTGATGGATCGATTGATGCAGTATGTATGTATGTTTGCATGTGTCGTTGTATGAGTATGTACAATTAGATGTGCATGTACATGTCTACATGTGTGCATCTGTAGTGTTGCGTATATGTGTATGTATGTGTTCATGTGTATGTGCAAGTTGTATATATATATATAGATATATACACGCACATGCATACATACATACATACATACATACATACATACATACATACATACATACATACATACATACATACATACATATATAGTGGCCGTCGGCCCATCCCGCCACTGCGCCTAATTAGGTTGTAGGTCAGAGGCCTTTGGGATGCCTGTGGGAATTTCTTTGAAGGCCTCTCGGGATCCTCTTGGAGGTGGGGGGGTGGGCATGATTTGAGCTTCTTTGGGGGCCTCCTGTCCCTCCTCGTTCGCTCCTCCCCCCTCGTTCGCTCCTCCCTCCTCGTTCGCTCCTCCCTCCTCGTTCGCTCCTCCTCGTTCCCTCCTCGCCGAAACAAGTTCCTCCCTCCTTCTTCGCTCCTCCCCCCAAGGGCGGGGGCAGGCCACCCGGGGGGCCGCCGAGGTGAAGAGCGGCTGGCGGCCGCCCGCCGCCGCCCCCGCCTGGGGCGAGGACCCTCGCGGGGTCGTCGTCGTCGTCGTCGAGGAGGAGGACGACGAGGAGGACGACGAGGAGGAGGAGGACGAGGAGGACGAGGAGGAGGACGACGATGAGGAGGAGGAGGACGAGGACGAGGAGGACGCCCGATGGCGCTGCGTAAGTCAATGAGGGGAAGGAGGACGAGGAGGCGGGGGAGGAGGAAGAGCGTCGTCGTCGTCGCCGCCGTCGCCGCCGCCGTTGTCGTCGTCGTCGTCGCCGCCGTCGTCGTCGTTGTCGTCGTCGCCGTCGTCGGCATCGTCCTATCGTCGCCGCCGCCGCCGCCGTCATCGCTGTCGTTCGTAGAGGCAGAGACGGCATAAACATGAACTTTCTGAGCTCCGCTCGGATTTCTTGAGTCTGTGCCGGGCTCTCCATGTCGGCGCTTCCGGCGCCGCCCCTGGCGCGCTCCGCGCGCCGCTCCATGCACCAGGGAGGAAGTCGGCGGCGAGCGAGGGGGGGAAGTGAGAAGGAGAAGGCCTTCTCAGAAGGCTCGGAAGCTCCCGGACCTTCTGAGAAGCTTCCTGAGGCTGCCCCGCAGACGCAAAAGACCTCTCAGAAGGCGCGAGGACTTCTCGGGAGGGACCCGCGGCCTTCGGAGGAGGCCTTCTCCCCCTCACTTCCACCCCTCGCTCGCCGCCGAGGAGGGCCCAGCGCCGGTCCAATACGCCGGCGCGGACCTCCGATGATCGAGGTCTACACCTTAGGCGATGCTTAAGAAAACTTGAGTTTTCGGCCAGAGTCTCGATTATTCTTAATATTTCAATGTAAATCCTAAGATTTTGATAGAAATTTTGGGTTTTTATTCGAGTTCTGAGACCATGAATTTCTTAACCCATGATTTCTTAAGCATTTCGCAGGGTGTACGCTTAAGTCGGGCCTGCCCTCCTACAGGGGGACTTTGGACGAAAGAAAAATACCCCAAAAATTCCCAAAAATGTTCAAACATAATCCAAAAGTGGTCCCCGGACGTTTTTTTTTTTTTTTTTAAAATATATATATATATATATATATATATATATATAACAAAAAAAAATGTAGAGGGACAGGCCCGACTTAAGTCTATGCCGCCTGTGGGCAATTACCTCCAGAGGCCCGTTTTCCACAGTGTGCACACGCCCCTCGCCCTCGGGGAGGGCGAGGGCCCGCTCGTGCCCGGGGCGGGGGCGATGCCAGACGAGTCGGGGTTCGAGCAATCGGAGGCGGATAGACCTCCGAACCCCAGGAAGCATTTAAGAACCCCCCCCCCCTTCCGGCAAATCGATAAACCTATCGTGCGGTTATTTCGGCCCCTCGGAATATATAATAAAAATGCGGTGCTAAGATATCGCCGGGGGGGTTCTTAAATGTTTCCTGGAGTTACCCTGGCACGGCGATTGAGGAATTGGCCGTTTTCGGTTAGCGAGAGGGCGCCGCGGCCGTCATTTTTGCGGGTCCAGGTCCGTCGGTTTCGGTCCCAGGCCGTTTTCATGAAGGGGAGGTTTACTAAAGGGAGGTTTGTCCACCGCCCAAAAAGTAGGGGATCGACTACAGAATTGATATACCTCAGACTTGGTTTGTCCGTCGAACCCATGAGAAATGCGTAGACAAATGTTCGTAGATCTACGGAAATCCCACGTATGACTCGACGACAGCATGAATTCTGGGGCAAATCAATTTTGCAGACGATCATCTACTCGATGATTCGGTTTTACTTCAGGGCGGCTGCACTTCCATTCTTTGCAGTCGTCAGTTTTGCTTGTAGCACTAGAAAGTCCAGGGTTCGCTAAGGAGTGGTGGCAGGTCAAAACAGCCGAGACCCTCCCGAATCCCTCCGAAAACCTTCCGGGAAAGGGTTCCGGGAGGCTCTCCGGAGGATTGCGGGGGGGGGGGTCGTTTGGCAGGGTTTTCGTCGTTTTTGATTTGGGGGGAAGCCAGTCCCTCGCGAACCCCCTTGGGCTTTCTCATTTCAGCAGTCAGGAGGAGCTGGGCGTGGAGCTCAAGAAAAGCCTTGTCCCGCCCTCGTCGTTCCATCGCTCGAGTAGGGGATCGACTACAGAATTGGTCGACCCCAAAAATGATTGGCCTGCCGAATCTACGAAAAAAGGGTAAGAATGCTTGGAGATCTACGAGCATTCTACGGACGACTGTTTAGGTCGAGCCCCGACTGAAGCTTCAAATGACCTTGCAGAATTCCCCGATGAATCCCTAGACAGGTTACAACAAGTTTTTTCGGCGGCGAGCGAGGGGTGGAAGTGCGAGGGAGAAGGCCTTTTCAGAAGTCGTCGGGTCTTCTCCGATGCCCTCCCTGGCCTCCTGAGAAGTCTGTTGTGTCTTCGGTGGAGGCTTCGGAAACTTCAAAAGAAGACCCGAGAACTTCTGAGCCTTCAGAGAAGGCCCGCCCCTTCTCACTTCCCCTTTAGGCTCGCCGCCGAACCAAGAATAACGAAAGCTTCAAATCATCTTGCAGAACTTCCCGAAGAGTCTCAAACAAGCTCCGACAACGTTTTCAACAAGGACATCCTCCCGGGCGACAAGCAGATCCGTGTATCCGCGGCCTCGCGGGCTGGGCCCCTGGGCCGCGGGAGCGAAACGAAGTTCATCAAGGTGATCCGCGCGGCAGTGGCCAAGGCCCCCCAAAAGGCTAGGCAGGCGCTCTGGCTCGGCGACCGCCTGCGCGAACTCCAGAAGGCCATCTTGAGAGACACAGGGTCACCGCACGGCGGCGAGCAGGATATGCAGCATCCTGGAGACGTGGGAGGAGGCCTCCAGGAAGACCAACGACCGGCAGCACTTCGAGCAGCACTGGCCCCGCCTGCGCGACCAGGGCCCCGACGTCCTCGGGCAGATGGCCGAGCAGGCGGAGATCGTCGGCGGGAGAATCACGCGCGACTTCGAGAAGCAGAGGTGCCAGTCCTTCGACACCTGGGCGAGGGAGGCCACGTTGGACGGTGTGGGCCTCGCGCGAAGGTGGACCAGAGGCCCGGCAGGAGCGGGCCAAGGAGTCATTGGGAATGGCGACGCGGCTGACATCCAGGACGCAGCAGACAAGTTCTGCAAAGAGTGGCTGGAGCAAGTCTGGAACGCGAACGAGCCACTGGCACAGAAAGGGTGGGACGACGCGAAGCAGCGCGAGCGGAGCGAGCCCTCGACCGAGGCCGTCAGGGAAGCCAGCGGGAGCTCCACGCACAGCGCCGCCCTGGGCTCCGACTCCTTCCACCCGAGGTGCTTCGCGATGCTCCCCGACGAGGCGCTGGAGTTCCCATCGAGGCCCGCGGTGACCAGCACCGCCCTCGTGATTCAGAAGGCAGGAGGCGCGCGACCCACCGCACTCCTGGGCGGCTTCCTGCGCAGGAGGGGCGCAGATGCTTAACGGGCGAAGAACGGTATAAAATAAACCTTTTCGCCGTCGGGGACACCTGTCCCAGGGCGGCTGGAAAGTTTATACCCTTACGGTGGCACCGTAGGGGTATAAATTCTCCAGACGCCCAGGGGCATGCGCCCCCGACAGCGAAAAGGTTTATTTTATACCGTTCTTCGCCCGTTAAGATGCAGGGGCGGGAGGACGAGCACAACCTGCCGTGCTTCCACAGCACCAGCGGCAGGGCGGCGGGGAGGGCCGCCCATGGCCAGGCCGCGCACCAGGAGTGGGGCAGCAAGGGCGGCGGGGCCGCCTTCTCTAGTCAGCTGGACATGACAAAGGCACGCGAGCGCGCTGGACACCAGACGCCCTGGAACGAGGGCGAGCGCGACGCCGACCTCGCGCTGCTACAGGCCAGCGCCGACGTTTACGCGGCCAAGAGGAGTCGCAAGATAGGCGGCGCCTTCTCGGACTTGACCAGCATCAATTCCAGCATCTTGGCAGGTTGCGGCTTCGCCACTTCTTGGATAAAGGTGGCGACGATCAAGAGTTTGGAGGCCGTCGGGCAAAAGTGCCAGCGCATCCAGCTCTACGGGATCGCGGACGGCATCGCTATCGCCCCCATCGGGGCGCAGCGGTGGTTGTTCAAGATGTCGGCAGCGAGGCCTTGCGACCTGGTGGACCTCCCGCGAGCGCTCGGCATCGAGATCAACGGCGCGAAATCCACCGTCGCGGCGAGGCCCGCCCACGCCGGCAGCAGAATCGCCGACAGGGTCCACGAGAGCACGGGCCAGCAGGTGAAGATCAGCAAGCACTTCCGCAACCTGGGCGTGCACTCCGCGGTTTGGGCGAGGCGCAGGAACATGGCGACCCAGAGCAACATGGCCAAGCAGAAGGGCAGGCCAGGCAGGGCGGGGCGCTTCAGCCGGCGCGGCGCCAAGGCGGGCAAGGCGGGCAGGATGGGGCGCTAGCCCGCCATGTCGCGCGGGCCCAGCGCACTGGGCCGGAGCGACTCGCAACGCCATCGATCGCGAGCCGTTGCGGGGGCCACCGCGTTCACCGACGCGGCGCGGCGTTCTGTCGCGCTGTCTTGCACTTTGGAAGACGGCAGGCATCGCCCAGCGAAGTCGCGGCACCGCTAATCGAGCGGGCCAGGGCCGCGTGGACCAAGAGGATCCCCATCGACACCCCGCAGGGCGCCATCGACCGCGCCAACGCCATCTAGACGGGGCAGATCAAACGATGGGCCTCGGTGGTAGGCCCAGCGGGAGTGACCCTGGCTACATTGGGCAGAATCGGACGGCGGGCGATCGCGGCGAAGAGGCGGGCCACGCACGACGGCAGGGAGCTCGACCTGGCCGAAGGGATGCGCCCGCACTCGCTCTGAGGCCCCATCCAGCGAGCGGTGGAGCGATGGCAGTGCCAGCTAGTCGCCAAGGGCGAGGGCATGGGGCACCTGCGGGGCGACATCCACATCGGACCTGCACAGGATGCACATCGTAGCCTTGAGAAGCACGGGCTCGCAAAAGAGGAAGGCGGGCTACGCTCCACCGTTGCGGGTAGCAAATGGTATTCGCAGTGGGTGATCGAGGCTGGCATGGATTGCGCTCCTTTTGCACTGGCGATGCGGCGCGGCGCCTGGGGCGCTGGCCCATCGCCACGCAGCGCGCGAGGCCTGGCTAAGCGAGCGGAGAGA